TATAGTGAATTTTTGAGATACTACGACCCATATTCTTTTGGCCGGCAGCTCGGAATTTTCTGGACATAAGGATATCCTATTTTTCACTGTTCCTGATCTCATTTCCGAGCTAAACTTTATCTTGATTAATGGTCAATCATTTACATTTACAATTCTGAAATACTAAAGTTGTAATATATGTAAGCGAAATTTAAAAGTTTAAAGAGTTATAAATCTCAACTTGTGATCAATCATTAATTAACCGATCATTATGCATTAGAGATAGTAAGTCGAAATAATAAAATCAATTGGATTATTTTTTTTTGAAATACATGACAAAATTTTATAATAACGAAAGTTCATCAAGGCATGAGAATTTTACGAAAAGCAAACAAAAGTATTATTTTCGATATTTTGTGATAAGTGGGAATGGAATACAACCAGGTTCAGAACCTAGATTGGAACAGAATAACGTTATATGGATATAAACAGGTTCGGATCTACTTAGATTGGAACGGAATAACCATTTATTTAAAGTTCTTTGAATAATTATTTGTATTTCTCGTAAAGAAAAAAATTTTTTTTTATTCTTTATATATTATTTAATTTTATCTTACTAATACAAAAAAAAAATTATAGTAACTCTAAATAACTAACTAACTGTTTGAAAGAAAATCAAGTTTGTTAAAAAAGCCCAGAGCATTTTTTATAGCAAATTATTATATATTATATTTTGAAAGTTTGAGTTCTTTACATATAGAGTCTACAATATAAAAAAAAAATTTATTATAAGTAGTTTATTGTTTTTTTCTTTAAATGGTTTTTATAAATGCTTTCATTAAGTCCTGTAATTCTATATCATGTAACAATTAACAGTAATGTAACACCAATGGCAGGAAAGCTAAAAGAACTAATAGTGCTAATAGTGCTAATAGCTTTACTAGAGCCATATAGTAGCAAAAGATCATGATGTTCTAAAATGTATAAATAGCTTCAAAAATCGCTCTTGTAAAAGAACAGTTCAATACCAAAAAACTAATAAAGGAGTGATCATATCTTCATACACGAACAACTCTAAAGAGTAATCATGTCTTCATACACCGATAATTCAAATAACCAATAAACCAGTTATAGTGTCTCCATACACGAATAACTTGAAAGACTTTATTGAATACATTGTAAACTTGTTAAACGACTACTTGTAACTTCATATACATTTAGCCGTTTGCGCCTCTTTCGTAACTGCAAATCGCTTTAATCCTCTTAAAAGCGTAACCGCAATAAACCCTATATTTTACTTAGACATAAATCGGCATTTGCCATCCATCGAAATGACATATCTGTCGCTAAAGTAAAACCGTTATACCGAACTTATAAGAAGTAGTTTCGGGTGTAACAGTAGTTTATTGATTTTTTTTAAAAGGTCCGATAAATAATTTTTTATTGATCATCACCATCAAAACAAAAATTGATTTTAGGGTTAGGTTTAAAAGCTTGAATTAGAATAAAGAAAGGGTTGTACTCAGAATTTCACAGAGAAGCTTTTTTTTATTAGAACCCCAAAGTAGTTTTGTTAATAAAATTTATTTTATATTATACACTGGTGATGATCCAGTGGTGATAAATAGCAAATCTCAAAGATTGATTGTATAAAAGAATAAGTGGTTTACCAATTGTAAAGTGACATACATTATTTTCAAATTTACAAACAAAGCAATCGATTAATAATCGAGAAATTACGCAGAACATCGACACGAAGTAAGCCAAAAAAGATATCTCAAGAAAACATTGATCCAGTTATTATTAAAAGGAAAAGACAAATTAAAGTTATAAGTATTAAATAATTTATTCAGTAATTAACAAATCACGTTTTATGTCTGAATTTGTATTAGTGTACAAGTCGGCTACTTCTCTTTTCAACTTAAAGAATTATTTCGAAGCGATCAAAGATTAAATTGCAGCTTTCATCAACCTAGTAAATGATGTCTCATATAACTTGGTATAAAAATGTCAAATTAGACGTTAGCTTCTTAGGTGTCGCAATCATAATATTTAAAGCTGCTTGAATATTTTGTTGTGCGGTTATGATCGGAATTAGAGAATCAAACTATATATTAACTACAATGACATACCAACCTAGTACACATTACCCAGGTGCATCAAACAGTACTCTGCGTACGGTTTTAAAGATTGGAACGCTCAATCGTTAACTGATTAACCAGTAAATATTTGGGATCTCCTTTAGTATAGGTGGGCATATATAAATTATTACAAAATTATAATATATAAAACCCATCTAATTTAGGCCAATTTATATTATAACTCTAACCCTGACCCTAACTATTTGTAAATTTACTTAAATTGATTCAAAATAGTTAATTTATATATATTATAATTAAATAATAAACATATTTGCCCACCTATACTAAAGATCAACCAATATTATTTGATTTATTAGTCATAAAAATTATGAACAGTCAATATAAAACATGTTTTTTGGATTTAGAACCGATTTGAGATCATATTTTTCTTAACTAACAAATATCTGTTCTGTGTAACATAGAATTACTGTATGTTATCGAATAAGAACAACCTTCTAGATTTTGGAACTAAGATTACTATGTTCTACTAATTAAATTGAATCTGAATAAAGCAACTCCTTCACTTTGGCTCTAAAAAATTCTCTTTTTTTTGGATGTTTTTATTCAGTAACTACTGTATTACTGAGAAATAGTGCACACTTGTGCAGTATTTCGATCACCTGCATGATATTTTGAGTATGCGCATATGCGTTATTTCAAAATTAAACCTAGTTTTTTATGCATGAGATTTTTGAAATAGCACCCATGTTGGGGTGTTTGGTTGGTTGATTAAATCAAATCTATTTGTAGCGAAAATTCTATATATCGGTTTGGACTTAGTTGCGAGACCTCTTGGGTTCATGTAGGGCCATAGCCACAAGAAGATAAATTTCGATGTTGCATGTAAAAAAACGATTATCACATATCAAGTCTTAGTTTATGAATTTTTTGTTTATTCTATTAAATAACTTTTTATTTAAAGACAATTTTATATCGAAAAGATGAAAATTTCTTTCATATAAACATTCTAACTTTATGAAAATAACTTTAGGGTTCTTTATTGTAATATACTTTATATACTGGGATGACCTTCGCCTACTGACTCTGAAATAAAAAGGAAAATTTTTTCTTGAGTCATAATAATTCAATAAAAATGTACAAAAAATAAACGATGATAGTATTAGAATCACAAAAAAATTTTTATCACATCTTCTTTATTGGTAGTATAAAAATGACAATTATTATAAAGTCTTTTAAATCTTAAACTATATTACTATATTCTTCTTTCATATAAAACAACTTAACAAATTACATAACTTTGTGCCTATAAAACTAAAATAATAGTTATGAAATTTATATTCTTTATTCCTTAGATTATAGTAAAACACAGACAAATTTATCTGTGTTTTTGCACTTTTTTAGCTCTAATCTACTTTTTTAAAAAACTAAAATATTTAAATAAAATTTGGTATAATAATATTTGAAAATAAGGATTACTTTTTTGCAGCATTTATTTTTAAATTATAAAAAAAAAAATTAAGTTACTTATAGATCAAAAATATACAATTTCAAAAAAATTATTTTTTTTCTAGTATTTGCCAAAATAACTAATTAAGAAAACCAGCTTTTCACTTTATATTATTATTAGAAAAAAGAAAAAAAATTAAATAAAGAAAGATAATTTATAGAAGCAATAAGATAAAGAAATAAAATAAAGAATAGTTTTATAAATAATAATAGGTAAAATGATATTTTATTAAAGAATAATTTGTATACAAAAAAACTTTTATATATAAGAAAAAGTACTATAGAAGATACTGCCTTTTAGATAAGCAAAAAGTTATTTTTTTATAACTTTTAATCTAATAATTGATTGGTTTTAGAGTTATCATGTGTTGTAGTATCATTTTGGATCATATGAATATCCAAAATGTAGCAGAAATTAAGAAATTCTATGTATATTTTACCAATAATGCTTGTACATAAATAATAAACCAATCCTGAATCTTTCTATTTTTATCAATGCTTGGTGCTCCATTTGTACAATATTTATATATTAACTAAAAATAAAAAAAATATCATTGTGTAGCTTATATGATCATCTACAAAACTTTCTATAGTTATTTAGTGTTTAGAAGTCTCCTTACAGGTGTTTCCCTAAGTACAACTAAAAATAACTATAATAGTATATAAAAACTATATAGTAACACTATAGTAAAAATTGTATTATAATTAATAAATATTAATTAATTATAATTAAATTAATTGTTCCATCATTTTAGAGTGTCCTGGGACACCTGGGACATCTGGGGCATGACCTGGAACCTTTGATCAGGACCCTTGTAACACTAAACAACTGTATTTTTAGATATTCCAACAACTATTGGCTATAATAAAATACTATAAGA